GTCGTGGTCTTCTCTGCAGGTGCACGCGGCGGCTTCTTCAACCTCCGGGTCCACGTTGGCAACTTCTACTATGGCGTGTTACTCACCCTGCGACACACAACAGCAGGACACGCGTGGAATAGCGGGTACCAGCTCTGATACCAATGCAATCAGACTCACTCTCATTCACACTTCTCATGCATGCAAGCAGGTGCGCAGAAAACTGGGGACAAGCGCCTACTCAGAACTCAGAGATATGGTAACCGAGAACACAGATCAGATACAAGTTCACTTCGATGGCTATGGCGACTCAGCGCCCACACAACTCACTGTTCGCACACACAGGATCACCCTGGATATCCCACACGCGACACTCAGTACACACACACGCACACTCACGGAACTCTGTCTACAGCTATGGCGGTTATGGCCGCTACTACCCAATTGCTATGGCTAAGCTCCTTCTCTCTCGCCCACTTCGTCCTCGGGCTCACTGCAGACCACCTCGCACAAGTCGCTTGTGGCAGCGCTTCCGCATGGCTCACACAGGAATGAATGAATGACTGGGCGCTGCCTCTTGATTTATACTTCTGCAGCTCGTTGGTCTGGCCCTTTCCCATGCCCGTAGTGCACACAGTCCCATGCGGTACTTGCTTGACTGGACCAGGACTGACTGGGACTGGGACTGTTGACTCGGCACGGGTAGACTCCACCACTTGCCCACTTGCCTCACCACTTGCCCACTTGCCTCAGCCTAAACGTGGGCAACTTCGAAAGGCCACTCACTACTCAGACCTTCCGGAAGGCCGTAGACCTGGCCTTTCATTACTGTAGCAGCTACGACCTTGACCTTTCCGGACTGTAGCAGCTACGACCTTGACCCTTCGAAACAGCTACAGCTACGACTTCTAGACCTGACTGAGACTCCTACTCGACAGGTCTACAGATCGAACCCCTGCTACCTATGGACCCTACGACAACCTACCAACTGTTACAAATACACAGGTCACGGGTTCAACTCTAGGGGTCGACACAGATACTGTACACAGGTAAGGTGTGGGACTAGGGATCGAGCCCTGGGATTTGCATCGGCTACTGCCAACTGGTGAATACCGTTTCAGAGAGAGAGAAGAGAGTCACCTACCTGGATGTGGATGCTAAGTATGGGGTGCTGAACTCTGCGCTGTTGAGCGGTTGGTGACTGGAACGCCGAAACTGTTTAATATGATAGTTCGTTGGAATTTCTAAGCTGCGCTATTCTGGACTTTGCATCTCTGGTCACCAGTGTGCACTTGGTGTGATCTCTCAATGTGTGTGTGTGTGCTCAAGGTGATGAGCAGCTCAATGCAAGATTCTACCTGTGTTCCCACGTCGACATTTCCACGTGCACAGCTTGGTGGAGGACACTAGCAAAGTCCGAAGTGCAATGATGTCCGTGACCACTGCTGAAGCCAATAACTGCCGCAAGGCTGTTTAGTAGGTTGTCGTCACTGTACTGCTGAATTGGAACTACTTAAGTGCATCTACTTGTGATTTTTTGCAAACGATGGATCTGTTTCGACTGCTCAGATTCATCCACAGTGATAATGGCTTCCGTTCTCTGTGTCGTAAATTGTAAATTGTAAATTGTATTTTTGTGTTTGCTTCCTTGCTCGGGTTTATACTGCTGCGTGTGGATGAACAGATTGTTGGGTTCCGAGATCCATTTGTGTGGAAGGAAGGGGAGGAGTGGTTCATGCTGCTGGGTTCCGGGATTCAAGACGTAGGAGGGACAGCACTTTTGTACAAGAGCCCAGACCTGATCCGGTGGGAGTATGTGCAGCCCATATGCATGGGAAACATCAAGGAGAGTGGGAAGATGTGGGAATGCCCTCTGTTGATTAACTTTGGGAAGTGGCATATGCTGTGTGTATCACCGGACACCCCGGCCAACCCTGTCTTGTATTGGGTTGGAGTCTACGAGAGAGGCACGTTCACTCCCAAGGGTGGTGTAAAGAGGCTGGATCTTGGGAATGTCGTGTACGCTCCGAACTGCTGTGTCGATAACAAAGGCAGGCAGCTTCTCTGGGGGTGGGTGCAAGAGGTTCGTTCGGAGGAGGCGTGCGTAAGTGCAGGGTATGCGGGATGCCTGACCTTGCCTCGAGTGCTTTCTATGAATGACAACGGTGTCCTGTTCCAGGAGCCTCCTGAGGAAATCAAACTCCTCCGCACTTATCATCTTGTCAACGAGGGCCCCATGCGATTGGTACCTGTCGAACCCGTGTTCTATGGTGTGCGGACTGGCTGTCTGGAGGTCGAGGTTGAAGTCGACCGGGGAACGGCGGATGCATTTGGTATTGACATCCGGGAGATGCCGACCATGCCGCAGCCGATGGTAAAAAGCAGCTCGTCACCTGCTCTTGATGAATCGCTAGCGAATCCTCCCCTGGAGGCCACGAGGGCGCAGAAAGTGCTCAACGCTGAACCCCACGAAGGAGTGCTGATATCCTACGACTTCAACCGCAAATGGCTTGAGGTCTCCTGGTGGCAACCGGGTGCGGAGCATGGAACAGAAGCTGCAGGAGAATTGGTTTCTAAAGGCGGAGAAGTCGTATTGCGTGAAGGCGAATCCCTCAAAATGCGAGTGTTCCTCGATCGCTCAGTTGTTGAGGTGTTTGTGAATGGCCTGGCTTGCTTAACAACAAGAATGTATCGTGCTGTAATCGGAGTGGCTCTTCTGGCGAAGGGTGGTGATGCCGAGTTGATATCAGCAAATATGTGGGAGATGGGCTCGATGTGGGACCCTCCAGCTGCTGGTGATCTTGAATCATCAGCCCTAGCGGTTGACCCATTTATCTGATTGGTTTGCAATTTGTTGCCTTGGATCAGGTGTGACATGGAAAAGCAATTGTTGTCAGTCATCTGCTTGTCATTGACAGTGGAGCTGTTCTCCAGCCTGTTGCTGCGCTGGTTTGTTGTGGCTTCCGGAAGGGTGTTTCTGCGAAAGCAGCACCAGGGCAGGTTAACGTTGCTGAGTTGAGGGCGGCGACTCTGGCTTCCGACTTCTGCAAGACAAGAGGGGTGAGGGAGGTGGCAAGGTGGGAAGCAGATATATTCGATTCGATGAAGGTGCTTATTTAAGGGGATGCAACTTCAAGAAAGGTATCATGTTCCTGCATAAACTTCGCTTCGTGTGACACTGGGGGATAATACCGTGCTCCTCCATAAAAACATTGCTCCGTGTTTCATGGGCATTAACTGCCGTGCAAGATTTTTCACCTGGAAGTTGTCAAATTCTTCTTTTATCTTTTTCCTTTCGTCCCCAATAGAAGAGACTTTGTGTTTTCTGGGCTCGAGCCTGGTAAGATGGAAATTGGTTTCTAAGGAGTGAGGAACGCAGAAGGGATTTCCTCAGGCAGGGACGAGTAGGAGGGAGTGGGAATGAGAGAAAGTTGGGAGGAAGGAGGGGAACGAGGGGGTGAGGAATGGGAGAGGACATTCTCCGAGAGGCAAGGGGAGACAATGGGATATGGGTGAGAGGGGAATAAGACGGGGAAGGTCGGGGATGGAAGGGGAGGGGTGGACGCTGAGGTAGGAGGAGCAGGGAGTAGTAAGAAGTGGGTGAGGTAGCGGCGTGAACTCCCTCCCTTGCAAGAATATGCAGAGCGAGGGTCCCGAGGGAGGGAGGTCGGAACTGCCATGCGGGCAAGGGGAGGGAGAACAAGGCTTGAACGTGGAGGAGGCATCAGGCCGGCCAAATGCAGCTAGCTGTGGTGCTTGTTTTACACCGGGCAGTTGGCACATAGACTGACTAATTTCTTCCAATTAGTGGGGCAAGTATCATCTTGTCTTGGTATATATATAGATATAGATGACAGATGCTTGCTCCATCTGCGCGATTTCGTGCAGTGAAGAAGTCGATTGTCCCCACCGCCCTACACCATTTTTCTTCCGTCCGTCGTTTGAGGCTAATTCTGCCTCCGTCGTAGACAGAGTGTACAATAGATGCATGTGATGTCTGGTAAAGTGTTTCTTTTTTTCATTTCATTGACGAGTGTTTTTTTATGTCCTGAATTCTTTGGGAGAAGGCCGGTGTCTGTCTGTTTGTTGCTACTTCCAAGCCGTTTGTTCCCGCCACCGAGGGTTCAAGAAAGAGGGAGGAGGGGTGTACTTCTTGTTGCAGCAGCAAAGGCAAGACAAGGTGACTCAATTCGTGCCTGCAGCTAAAATCGAGGAGGGGTGTACTTCTTGTTGCAGCAGCAAAGACGAGAGAAGGTGAATCAATTCCTCCCTGCCACTTATTTCAGCTACGGGATGAGATAAGATGATTTGCTTCTTGCCTGCCCAAGGGAACACAAGTTGGAGTAACAAGTCAAGCCGAGGAGAGAGAGATTTTATATGCTATGCTATGCTATGCTATGCTGTGCTGTGCTGTGAAGGGGGGCCAGCCGGTAGGGCAGCAGACTGCTCTTGTGGGTTGCTGATATCTTGTCTCCTCTGTTGAGGATTTGGGATGACTACAATCTCTTGGACAACGCGCCGTAAATACTAAATAATGAATTGTCATGTATATGGAGAAGTCGCGACCTTCGCCATGATGTGTGAATCCAGCCCTCTTAATTTGTCGAAACAGCCGTTACCTTTTGGGAATTCAGCAGTTGAGTCAGTTGACATATATAGTAAGTAGCCTGCTAATTTTAATTTGTTGGTCTGTGCCCCCTGACCGACACAAAATGTTGGATGCGACAGAGGTTCGGTGCAGTCACGTGGGTCGCTCGACGCCAATTTCCCCCAATCAAGGTGCGAAGATAGTCCGAACTTTTTGATTCAATGGCATTAATAATGAACGGATGTATGGATGAATAAGAGGACTAAGAATCTTATTGAGAAGCAACCTTCACAATGGTGAGAACCCAACCCGGTTATGTTATGTTTGAGCGAAAGCTGAAAATTCGGTTATGTTCCGCTGCTGTGGGTTGCACTACGCCAATTCCGATCAGACTAGCGAACTTTTGCATGGAGTGGTGTCAAATTGTCAATAATGGAAGGTCTCGCATGCATAAGAACGCTATTGATTTATTAAGGTCTCGCATGCATAACAACGCTATTGATTTATTAAGAAGCAACCTTTGCCATGATGTGAACCCACCTGCTACTTATTTTTTGGAATTTGAGCGGGCACTTTCCTGTTTCATTTTGAATGGGGTGGTGGCCCCTAACCTTAGTGAACATGATTTGGAACACATGACGTGCTTATTAGCAGTTACGTGTGTGTGTGTACCATTCAACCGCCGTACGGCCTCGGTGGATGCAGCTCAACTTTTTCAAGTAAGCTGATACTTTCTTTGGCTGTCAAGGGCAGATGAGCTGACAACAGCTAACTGCTAGCAAGTTGTGGAATGCTGAGCTATATCCGATTTGTGAATTTCGCTCCAGATTGAGGCACACGTGTTCAGCTTTCGGATATTAACTTCCGTTTTAACTAGGGATCTGCGTCTCGTTTTTTTGTTCCTTTGCTTTTTTCCCTTTCTTTTGCCTTTTTACTTTGGCAAATGGTTTTTTTTTTTTTTTTTTTTTTTTTTTTTCGCATCACACTGTAGGTTTTATTTTCGTTTTCTTTTATTGACCGCAATTGGTTATTTCCAGCTTGCTAAGCTGCCAACTGGAGCTGGGATGCAGAAGGGTCCACACAAATGCTGGAATATGCGAATGTGTGAGGCAAAGATAGCTGTGGCTGACCTTTAGATGCTTCTCGCGGCGCAGTGCATTGTGCCTCCAATTGAATTGAGAGCTTCTTTGATTGGACTCCTTTAGATCCTTTTTTCGAGTTTCTCTTCTTCTGTCATTAGACCTGGGTGCCCGACCTGCCCGATTGAATGTTGTAGCTTCCTCAGGCCTGGGCTACTGAACCTGAACTGTTTATTCGGATCAGCCGAATGGTGCCGAACCATCTGGTACTGTGCAAGACCTCTTTTGGATCCGATCATGCTATGCAAATCGCTTATTATTAACCCTTGACACCTTTTGGATCGGATTACGCAGGCATTTTTGGCTGAGGGAGATCACCTTACATTGTTGACTTTGAGCCTTGAAAGAGTGCTTTTATTTGGACCCCTTCTACCTATAGGGTTGTTCTTGTGTGGCATAGCTGTCCCGCGGGAGCAAGATTCATTCCTATGTGATTCGTGGAACACGTGAAGCGCTCCCGCAGCGCGTTTCTTCGCAGAGTTTTGCATGTGTGCTGGTTGCAGGATGTTAATTTTCTTCAGAATTTCGGCGGCTGATTGTCTGACAATTTTGTCTTTTGGTCGGTAAGTTAAACCGAAGGTTGATTCAATAAGTAGGTCTTTTTTCTTTTTCTTTTTTTTTTGTTGTTGTTGAAAAAACTGGCCGCGTGGGAGCTAGGGGCGCTGGTATGAGCAGACGCCTCTATCGCCTCGATAAGTAGGTCTCAATCTCAATGTCCGCTTCCTCCCTGGATTTCAATGGAGGGTTTCAATGGAGGGTTTTGAACTGTCAACTTTAGCTCTGCAGCAGGTGGGTTTTCAACTTTTCACATTAAAAAAAAAAGGTGTTGCTGTGTAGCAGGCGAACACGTTCGGAGGTTTTGCGAGCACGCGGACATGTTCTCCCGTTCGGCAAATCGTTCTCGCTGAATATGTTCTCGCCCATATGTGGGAGAACATACTTTTTTTTTTTTGTGATTATTTTTTTTTGTTGTTGTTTTTTTTAATTTTTAAGTCGCGTTTAGCTAAGAATTTGGAGACGAGTCCAATGTAGAAGTCGTCTTACTTATACGGTATTAAAGTTTATCAGCTGCAGGCTCTGACACACTCCGGCGTCTCACCAACCTGGGTCGTGCGATCTTGAAAATCAACAATTGATATTTTTTGTCGTGAAACCCCACTTTGTTTTGTTGACACTTGCTTGGCAAGTGCGACCTGGATGGACGCCGTGTGAATGATCAATCAAATCTGTGTTCTCCATAGGACCCTTTGTGATGTCGAGGTCAGTGGACAAGTGGATAGTCTGGCTGGTGGAGAAAAACTGTGAGTGAAAGTAGAGAGCTTCTGCGAAAACACTTGGTTGTGAGGTCGGTGGACAAGTGGATAGTCTGGCCTGGCTGGTCGAGACAACTGTGAGTGGAAGTAGAGAGAGCTTCTGCAAATTTCAGAGGTTTTCTGAGATTGTGAGAATCGAGTGCGCGATGATGATGGTCTGTCAGGTTTGGTGTGGTGTGAGGAGAGGGTGTTTATACCGGTTACTGTGCAGTGAATGAACACGATCGTGCGTTGGGGAAGGTGCATTGGAAAACGAAGAGAAAATGAAATGATTTTTGACATCGAGTACCTGTCAGACGTTGTGAGGGTGTGGTGCGCCTTTTAGATAGATCTCACAATTCTTATGTTAATGAACGGGGTCGCGTTGTAAGCTGGGTTCATACCTTTTCCTGTGCAGTCAATGAACTCGATCGCGTTTTGGGGAAGGTGCATTGGAAAATGAAGAGAAAATGAAATAATTTTTGACATCGGGTATTTCAGATATTACCTAGGCTGGGCCGGCGCCCGGCCGGGCAGACCCCGGCCGGTTGGGCCCGGGGGGGTCCGCCCGGCTGAACCGGGCGTCGCAAAAACATAGCAAGGATTTTTTTTATTTTTTTTTCCGAAGGTGGGGTTGTGCTGCGCTGCACTAGAGGACCCCGAATCTGCAATAAAAAAGTACTTCGGGGATTGTGGTGGG